TGCACTAGGAACTGAAAGATCACAGAATGAACAAACCAATCTATTGTGCACTAGGAACTGAAAGATCACAGAATGAACAAACTAATCTATTGTGCACTAGGAACTGAAAGATCACAGAATGAACAAACTAATCTATTGTGCACTAGGAACTGAAAGATCACAGAATGAACAAACTAATCTATTGTGCACTAGGAACTGAAAGATCACAGAATGAACAAACTAATCTATTGTGCACTAGGAACTGGAAAATCACAGAATTTCTTTCTTTTTTTATATATATATTGCTGTTCTTTTAAACTACTTATTTTTGTACTAATTACAGCTCAATATTTTTTATTTAGATTAACAATTACAACGCTAGAAACCGGGTTTCGATACCCGTGGTGGGCAGAGCACGGATAGCCCATTGTGTAGCTTTGTGCATAACTACAAATAAACAATAGATTAACAAAAAACCTTGGTGAAATTTTTATTAAATTATGGTAAGAGAAAAGAAAGGTATTTAATATGATTTATATATACTTGAACTGTGTTTTAAAAATAGAACAGTAGCGCATGCAACAGTTAAACTGAATAATACATGACATCCGCCTCGAAAAGGAGTTCCTGTTTACATCTTTAGTTGTTATCTTATTTCTGTAGACTGTACCAAATTCTACATGGAAATATGCTACTTAAATATCTATTATGTAATGATTTCTTGGAATCTTTAGAGGTAAGGTCTTGAGGCCTACTAAAAATATGGACTCGCTGTATTTCAGAGAAAAACATCGTGTTAAGTCCATTCTGTCCTCTATAGTGTAAACATTTAACAGTTTGTCATCTGAAAATGTTTTTATCGTGAGATCATTTAGTAGAAAAATCACTGCTAATTCGAGTAGTAAATTTCCTGGAACCTTCATTCCCTGGTGTTATTTGGATATAAAACTGCTGATCAGGCAAAAGCTGTACAAAGAGAGAACGGGAACGCCTTCCGCTAGGGTCTACGAAAAGCGATCTGGTCTAAAAGGTAACCATCAATATACTCATTTGCTACTGTCATCATGGTGCTAGGCGCCCTCGAAAAGCAGCTCCGGGTTCTCCCCCTTTTTGAGTATGCATCTATACCCACCAAAGAAAAGTTTGCTCTGAAGGCTCATCGAGACCCGAAGCTGCAAGGGTTAGGTGTACTGGGCCGTGGTCAGCTGTTCTCCCTCTTCCATGCTGAGCACCTAGCAGAGGCCACCAAGCTGTACGAAGTGCTGATCGGTACGACTTTTGTATATTTGTGTAACTTTAAGTGTAGTTTAATTTATGTATATGTTCAGTCTCTGGATCTTTGACTTTTAACATTCACTTTTTTGTATTATCAAATTTCAAATAATCTGAAATTTTAATATTATATTCCTTCACCTATTCCAAAACTTACTTCTAAACTGGAATAATTTCCAACTTTACTGCTATGATTCTCTCTACATATCGAAACTTTAGGTTCCGCTTAACATTGCAGGAAATATAATGTGTTCCAAGTTGAAAGATGAATTTAAAGCATACAAATTATTATGAATTTGCATATCTCATTTACTCTATAAATTACCTTAAAATTATGATAGATTAACACATCCAGTTTGTACATTAATCTAACTAGCAGAAACGCCGCCCTAGAGACGGCTATTTGTGGCAGTAATTACTAATCGTAGCATTAAACTGTAATATTATATGTTAAAAGTGGGACCGTTTATTGAAAAAAAATGCATAGTTTTTAAGAACTCCAGTTTCTCAGAACTACATTTAAAAATTACGTCAATAAAGATATAATCAAACCCTCACGTACAGTCCTAGTGAAAGTCGTGGTCTTGTTGTGAGAAGAGTACTTTTATTTAAAATTGTGTTCTATTATAAAGGAATGATTGTTGCACATACCACAGTTGTTTTTCTAATTGTGTGAATCGTGAATACTCAAAGTGTGAAATTTGTTATGGATTTTTGTTCGTGGTGCCATTCAATACATGTCGCAAGAGTTTTGGTTACATACATAGATAATGACATACACGCTATGTCCATTAAAGTAGGATTAGTCTTTCTTTCGACATAGAACTCATAATAATATAGCAAAGTCGCATACTATAAATAACCTTTAATATTCTGTTGAATACGGAAATTTTACTTTATGAAATGACACTCATGTTATTGTAATAATCATTTTCTAGAGTAGAAACAAATGCTCTATCAGACCAATGCACAGTTTATTTATTAGCTTTTGAAGCAATGTTACTCCACCCAACCAACAGACAATCTAGGTTGTAGGGCTACCGTTTCGTTTAATGAAAGTAGCACAAAATAGGTTGCATGGTTCAAAGGCCCCATTCATGATTCACAGAGGTACCAATTTACCCACAAGTTCCCCTATTACCACCAATTTCTTCTATAGCTACTTCAAGGGAATATGTAACCGAAAAACAACAGAAAACATTAGTATACCCGTCCATGGTACCTGAGCAACTGTGCCAAGTTAGGTCCAGCTAACTTGTGAGTAGGATTATGAGCATAGTTTCAAAACTGAATAATACCCCCGGGATTCCGAGAGAATACAAAATCCGATGCCAGATTCGAAGACCTACTCCCAGATATTCATCATGCTTGGGTGCCCTTCCTGAAGCGTTTACCCCTCCTTGATACTCCAAATGAATAAGAGTAGAGGGCTTACGCCACTCCAAGTCCGCCTGCCAAATTTGTTACTGTTAGCTCCAAAACTGTGTGGGAGGAGTTCCCACACAAACAAGTTCACAAACACACAAAGTGAATTAATATAAGAATATGTATAATGATTAAGCTCTTCTAGGCTTTAATATTAGGTCCATTTTTAATATTAACTTAAAATTCGTACACGTCTAATTTCGGTATGTCATATACTCAGAATTGACTACAGTGAGTTTTCATTCTTATGTTTATATGTACTTATATATTAGAGAGGGAGAATAGAACGCTATAACACCTTTGTTAAGAAAATGAAATATGCTTAACCTTTTGAACTCTGTTGTTGCCTATGTATATGTTGCATGGAAATAATTCATGGATAAACAGATGATTCACTGACCACAGGTGCTAAGACGTTCGAGGAGTTTTTGGACTTATGCCACCAGGTTCGTGATTTTGTCAACGAAGGACTTTATGTGTATGCCGTCTCTGTCGCTATCCTCCATCGTCCAGATTGTAAAGGGGTGAGTCTCCCACCTATCCAGGAAATCTTCCCTGACAAATTCGTGACTGTGCAGACACTGTATGATGCCTTCAAGGAATTTTGGCAAAACCCACACAAAGAGGTATGAACCAATCATCGAAAGGGACGCTAAATCGTGATCATATTATTTGTTGGTGTGTTAGTACGTGTTTTCCTTAAGGCTCACGGTTTTTTTTTACGTGTGTGTTTATGACATTTTTTGTAATGCTCAGTTTTAGATAATTGTCAATTTTTAAGGCTAAGATAAAAAAGTTAAATTTTAAACTGTTGCTTTCATAGATTTTTCTGAAAATATGAGCCTAACATATATACATACATATATGTATATATACACACACACACACACACACACATATATATATATATATATATACACATATACATACATATATATATATACACACACACACACACACACACATATATATATATATATATATACACATATACATACATATATATATATA